TGGTTTGCTTGAACGCTTACACTGTTCTCATCAGAACCCGCGTTCAGTTCTTCCGCAGAACTGAACGGGTTCTGATGAGAACAGTGTAAGCGTTCAAGCAAACCACTTCTGAAGATGCAAGCCACTCGTGCTTGCGAAATGTCAGGAATAAATTATCGTCGTTCAGTTCTGCGGAAGAACTGAACGGGTTCTGATGAGAACAGTGTAAGCGTTCAAGCAAACCACTTCTGAAGATGCAAGCCACTCGTGCTTGCGAAACGTCAGGAAGAAATTCTACCGAACGACGGCCTAAAAACCCGAAAAACCCCATTAGTTACTAGAAAAATGGCTTTGGCATGTGATCTCTTAAAGACACTTGTCTACAAGGCGCTTCCCTTGATAATCAGTGCATGTTTTAGGGAGATTATTCAGTCAAAATCATCATTAATTGGCTTAATTATCAACCCCCCCCAACTAGAATCACTGCTGTTCCATCTAAAACACCATAAAACCGTTGCAAATACGTTTATTATATACCATCAATAATGTTCTATTTGTTTCGTTATTATTTATGGCGCAATCAGGAACCATAAAACCGGTCCATGGGCATACAAATATGTAATTTTTTAAATATCGCACCATTGTTCCGCCTGCAACGTGAAACCGTAAAAATCATAGCAATTAAGCGGCCGCAAATATAGTTTTTACATTTAAATTTATAATTAGCAAAAACCTTACAGGTTCAGGATGAATTCCATTAAAATGAATGTTAATTAGTTTAGTCGGCTTATCACCAATGAAAACAATTATGATTTTCTCCTTTGCTTATCCAGGCAACAAATGCATTCACCTTGACCTATGTGTAACGGTATCTGCATATCAATCCGTTTGAAGATCTGAACGCAGTCGTATTTACAAACACCGTAACTTTCTCTGGGAAATTATCAGTTGCTTGTACGATTCTCATAGCAATTTCATAATAATCTATAAGTGTTGAAACAACCAGCTGATTATAAGCGATTCCCACTTGAAGGCGACACCGTCTGCAGTTGGACATACGGCTAACAAACCTTCCGGTCAGTTTTACGGGCTTTTAAGCCATCAGAACTTACTTAAGCCCGTGTCACATGCATCCGTTTGTACGATGGTACGAAAGTGTTTCTATTGGTTGGAGATCTGTCAATTCGTCCGTCCTCGTACGAATTGACAGATCTCCAACCAATAGAAACACTTTCGTACCATCGTTTCAGCGTACAAAAGAATGAATGGCACACGGGCTTTACAAACACGGAAAACTCGCCAGTTTCAAGTGATAACCGCGAGTTATAAACCCTGTAACTAATTGGTCAGCGAAGTAAATGCTTAGTTGCACCAATTCAGCAGTTTTAGTTTATAAGTACCACTTGCAATCTTAGCATAAGTTCAGTTATAAGTTATCAGTTGTCACAAGTACACTATTGCTGTAACTCGTCGTTCTGTAAATAAATCTTTTTTAAAAAGGCTTTCCCTTGATTGAAGAGTTTAACTCGCGAAAGGCCTATAGGACCTATTGAATAGCTCTCGCCATTTAATTTGGACAATTATAAAAGTGAATTTTTATGGAAAAAATGTTTGCCTTACGCTGCTTGCAAATGAATCGAAATCTGTACTTGTTTATGCACAGGTAGCATTCCAATGCATTTTATCATTAGCTTGGGTGATGTGTTTACTTGCAAATTTGAGCAGTAAGAAAATTTCCAATTAGCCCCTTACTGCAAGCAGGGGCGGATCCAGCTTTAAAGTCAGAGAGGGGTTATGTAGAAAAAATACAGTCTTCTGTTGTCTATGAAATTAGAAAAATGATCGTCGTTTTGTGCAAGGGTGGCGCAAGATTATTGCAAAATTTCATGTTTT